CCAGAGGCTCTGGAAGGAAGCCTGCTGGGTCAAACCACATCTAGCGGACAGGTGGGAACGGCCCGGGAGAAAGGCCCTGCTAACCTGTAATAGTGAGTCTGCTCCTGCAGGGTGGGCAGTTCTGGCCACCGGCCGGTGCTGCCTCCAAGGTGGAAAACACCCAGACCTGGCCGCAGCCTGGCCCAGGTCCTAGTGTGCGGGCAGGGCCAGGGCCCCGCCCCTGACCCCCCCCCCCACCTGGCTCCTTCTCCAAAACGCGGCCCCGCCCCCTGACCCCCCCCCCCACCTGGCTCCTTCTCCAAAACGCGGCCCCACCCCCTGACCCCCCCCCCACCTGGCTCCTTCTCCAAAACGCGGCCCCGCACCGACCCCCCCCACCTGGCTCCTTCTCCAAAACGCGGCCCCGCACCCTGACCCCCCCCACCTGGCTCCTTCTCCAAAACGCGGCCCCGCACCCTGACCCCCCCCCACCTGGCTCCTTCTCCAAAATGCGGCCCCAGTGCAAACGTGCCATCAGCCCCTCCCTCAGGCGCTGGACTCTAAACCTTATTGATCACGGCCCAGGTTCCCCTGTCACGGCTCTCAGGCGCTGGGAAGGTGTGTGGGTAGATTATTTGGGAGAAGGGTGGTTTGGCGGGAGCTTATTTCTGTCTGGCCTTCAAAGCTGTAAGAGATAGGGATCAGGGTGAGCTCCATCTCTGAAGGCAGAGTGAGCTGGAGGCCGCGGGGGGCCCAGGTGCCCACATCTGTACCCCCTGGTGCCCAGACACTCCCCCGGGGCAAGCCTGACCTGGGCACAGACCACAGATGTCCTCTTCTCGGCCTGGCTCAGATCGGCAGCCGTGGCCCAAAGTTCGGCAGCCAGACGCCTGGGGTCACCGGGGGAGGCCACATGCCCCTTTGACACTGGGCGCAGGAAGTCTCTGCCCCCAGCAGAGCCTGGGTGGGTCTGGCCCCTCTCCCAGGAACGAAGGTGACAGAACTGCTAAGTGACAGACAGTCATGTGCCATCTGGACGCGAGCACAAAAGGCCGGTGAGCAGGGCCTCTAAACAGCCTCTCCCCAGCTGCCTCCTCCGGAAGGAGGCCTGACTGCATGGGGGTGGGGGTGGAGGGGGCCAGGGCGAGACTGCGCTGTTGCAGAGGGGAGGCTGTTATCACACCCATTTCACAGATGTGGCCAGCGGGTTCCCACGGCTCGCCCACTCTGGGCTGGGCAGGAGCGCAGGGCCAGGAGCCTGCACAGGCCCTGAGGTGCCCCAGCATCAGGGCCTCGAGTCCCAGCTGCCTTGCCGGGGAGCTCCCAGCCCCCCACACACGCCCCAGCGGGTGGGAGCTCCAGGCCCTGCTCCCAGCTCGGGCCGGGCCACTCCTCCCCCAGCCTGGCCACCTCATAGCCCTCGGCCACCTCCACAGGCGCACAGGGTCTGGTGTGGACACGTGGAAGTGTGTGCATGTGCGTGTCTGAGAGCCTATGTGTGTGTGTGTATGTGTGTGTGAGAGCCTGTGTGTGTGTGTGTGTGAGAGAGAGCCCGTGTGTGTGTGTGAGAGCCCGTGTGTGTGTGTGTGTGTGTGTGTGTGTGTGAGAGCCCGTGTGTGTGTGTGAGAGCCCGTGTATGTGTGTGTGTGTGTGAGAGCCCGTGTGTGTGTGTGAGAGCCCATGTATGTGTGTGTGTGGTGAGAGCCCGTGTGTAGGTGTGTGTGTGAGAGAGCCCGTGTGTGTGTGTGTGTGAGAGCCCGTGTGTGTGTGTGTGTGTGTGAGAGCCCGTGTGTGTGTGTGTGTGTGAGAGAGCCCATGTGTGTGTGTGTGTGTGTGTGTGTGAGAGCCCGTGTGTGTGTGTGTCTGTGTGAGAGCCCGTGTGTGTGTGAGAGCCCGTGTGTGTGTGTGTGTGAGAGCCCGTGTGTGTGTGTGTGTGAGAGCCCGTGTGTGTGTGTGTGTGAGAGAGCCTGTGTGTGTGTGTGTGTGTGTGTGTGAGAGCCCGTGTGTGTGTGTGTGTGAGAGCCCGTGTGTGTGTGAGAGCCCGTGTGTGTGTCTGTGTGAGAGCCCGTGTGTGTGTGTGTGTGTGTGAGAGAGCCCATGTGTGTGTGTGTGTGTGTGTGTGAGAGCCCGTGTGTGTGTGTGTGTGTGTGAGAGAGCCCATGTGTGTGTGTGTGTGTGTGTGTGTGTGAGAGCCCGTGTGTGTGTGTGAGAGCCCATGTATGTGTGTGTGTGGTGAGAGCCCGTGTGTAGGTGTGTGTGTGAGAGAGCCCGTGTGTGTGTGTGTGTGAGAGCCCGTGTGTGTGTGTGAGAGCCCGTGTGTGTGTGTGTCTGTGTGAGAGCCCGTGTGTGTGTGTGTGGTGAGAGCCCGTGTGTAGGTGTGTGTGTATGTGTGTGAGAGCTCGTGTGTGTGTGAGAGCCCGTGTGTGTGTGTGTGTGTCTGTGTGAGAGCCCGTGTGTGTGTGTGTGTGTGTGTGTGTGAGAGCCCGTGTGTGTGTGTGTGTGTGTGTGTGAGAGCCCGTGTGTGTGTGTGTGTGTGTGAGAGCCCGTGTGTGTGTGTGTGTGTGTGTGAGAGCCCGTGTGTGTGTGAGAGCCCGTGTGTGTGTGTGTCTGTGTGAGAGCCCGTGTGTGTGTGTGTGTGTGTGTGTGTGTGTGAGAGAGCCCGTGTGTGGGTGTGAGAGAGAGAGCCCTTGTGTGGGTGTGTGTGTCTGAGAGCCCGTGTCTGTGTGTCTGTGTCTGCGCGCGCGTGCGCTGGCATGTGGGGGCAGGCGTGGGGGCCGTCTCCTTCCAGGACGGTATGCCAGCAGGCCTGTGCAGCCGCCTCCCACGGGGAGGGCTTTACTCTCTGAAACGAAACTTGCGAAAGTGCCCAGATCGGGATCCAGACACGCAGAGGCCTGGCTCCTGCCCCCAGCACCCACTGAGCCACCAAGGCCGGGGCGCGCGGGTGGGGCTGGCCCTGCGGGGTCCTCCAGGCACCCAACTGCCAGAAGCCCCCTCCGCACATCACGGCCTACACCTGCCGAGCATAATGGTCCTCCCTGCGGCCACCGTGCCCAGCACTCAGCTCCTGAACTAACAGGACCCCCACTTCAGAAGGGAGGGAGCCAGGACCAGGGCAGCGGGCTGGGGGCTCCACACCCCAGCCGCACACTCTTGGCTGGGGGTGGGGGTGCAGAGAGGGGCACCCCGCTCCCGACCACAGGTGGGCAGGGCTCCGTGTCCCTGGAAGCCAACTTCTCAGAGCTCTGAAGGGCACGGGAGGGGAGGGAGGGGAAGCAATTCCTGGGTCTGAATAGAGTGGCCCCGGGGGGATGTCAGGCCTCCGCCCCCGCTGCCTGGGAAACCTGGGAAATTACCAGAGGCAGCTGGGAGGAGCTGGGGTGGGGGGAGTCTGCCGGGAGACCTCCCAGGCCGCGCAGTGGGAGGGGCTTCCCCGGGAAGCTTGGTCCAAGATTTGCCAAGGCCAAAGCAGGCGAATACTAAATCAACACCAAGGCCAGCCCCTCAGTAAAGGCTGCCCAGCCCCTGGCCCATCCTGCCAGCCTCCCTGCTCCCACCCCCAGGGCAGAGGCGATGGCCACGGGCGCCCCTGCAGGCAGGATGTGACACCTCTACTCCAAGTCCAGCCTCCGCCCTACCGCCCCACACACACCCCTCTGTCCTGGGACCTGACCCTGGACCGTCTGGAGGGCAAACAGAGGTCCCCAAGCCCAGACAGTTCTCCTGGAGCCATTTTAAAAACTTTAGCCTCCCCGTGTCGACTTGAGATCCAGCAGACAGTCCTCATCCCCCAGGACAAGGGCTTAGCAGCCTGGGGCGGTGGAGAAGCAACGAGGGGCCAGGAGGGGGCCCAGTACCCTGCCCGTGGACCCCTGAGGGGTGGCAGCGCACAGCTGCCAGAGGGGCTTCCGACCTCCACGCCTGGGTCCCCCCGGGACAGCAAGAGATCTCCACGCCCCTAATTCCAGCACCAACAGGAAATGGAAACAAAGCCAAAGCTTCACCGGCACCAGCCAGCAGTTAAGGCTGGTCAGGAAACACAACTCGGGCCTGCCGCGCAGAGGCCCCAGGAGGCCCTCCAGCACCCGTACGACGTCTCACCTGTGGCACCTCTCTCCAAGCCTCGAGCAGGGCATCCACCCCACCCCAGCACCCTCAGGCTCAGAGCTGCCCAGCTCTCCGGGTCCCCTGCCTGTGCCAGCTTGGAACACCGCTCAGCCCCTCGCCCCCCGCCCCTCGCAAACTCTGCAGGGCACCAGGGCGAGGAGGGGCTGGACTCGACCTCTGGATGAGGAGGCTCGGCCCCACAAACTGGGGGCACTGCTATGCAGGCACCCCGCAAGTGGGCTACCCGGATCCAGGGCGCTTCTTGTCTGCGATTCGACCGGGCACAGACCCCCAAACCGACCCCCAGGGTGGCGACAGCAAACAGGAGGATGAACTGAGCTGGGCCCAGAGTGGGGTGGACCGTCCCCAAGACTAAGGCAAACTGGAGCGCGCCATCCCACCTCCCCTCGTCCGCCTGCCAGCCACGGCACCCGGCCGGGCCGCCCATCTAGGGGCGGTGGCCCTGATGAGCTCATGGAGGCGGGGCGTCCCAAGCCCCGCCCTCGAGCCCCTCTTTCCCCAAGAAGCAGGGTGGTCCCAGAAACAGCAGTCAGGAGAACTAAGCAGTAGCCGGGCGCTGGGTTCGGAACACGCACCCAACCGCACCACCACCATCACCAGCCGGGAACTGACCCCAGGTCCCCGAAGGGCCCGGCCGCGGGGCTCTGAGTCCCAACGCGCAGAGGCCCGAAACCCGTCTTAAGAGGCCCCAGCCCCGCCGTCGAGGGGCGCGGCGGCCCCGGACGACCCCGCCTTCGCGACTCGCCGGCCTAGGCCCTCCCACCCACCCGGGCCGGGCGTACACAGGTGGCCCCGCAACTTGGCTGCCCGGCTGCGCCCCCTTGGCGGGGCCTAGCGGAGTACGCGGCCTGCCGGGATCGGGGAGTGCCCTCCCACCCCTGGTGCAGGCTCACCCAGAAGACGAAATTGAAGACGAAGAGCAGGTATTTGATGCACTTGGTGCAGCCCTCTACCCCCATGGCGGCGCGGGCGGCGGGCGGCCTGCGGGGCGCGTGCCTGTCCTGGGTGTCGAGCGCGGGGCCTGGGGGCCTGGAGAGCGGCTGGGAGCCTGGCGGGAGGCTGAGGTGCGTAGACGGGAGGCGCGGGGCACGCGCGGACGAGGGACGCGGAGGGACGCGGACGAGGCAAGCAGAAGGCCTGGCCGGGACGCGCCTGAGCCTTCGCAGCCGCTGCGCGCTCACTCTGAGGCCGGGCGCGCGCCCCGCTCCGGTATTTATGGGGCGCCGAGGCCACGCCCACAGGCTCCGCCCCGAGGCCCCGCCCCCGCCCCTGCTGCCGGAGCGCAGAGTGGACGCAGCCCCAGCCCGCAGCGTGGCCCCCAGGGAAGGGGCGCACGATCCTCCCCCTGTGGCGCACACACTTCGGGTGTCAGATAGTGCAGTCAGGACGCAGGAGCCTGGGCGCGCAGTGCCAGGCGCCGCACGCATCCCTGGGCTGCGGGCACGCTCGATTTCCCGAGGAGCCGCGCGGGAGGATTGGCCTGCAGCCAGGGAAGACTCACTTCCCCTCCTCCTTCAGGCTCCTGGGGGCGATCCTAGAAGGCACCACGGAGGAGGTGATGCACCGGCCAACAGCTAAGCGCAGACAGCAGCTCGCTTTGTTCATAGCGCTTTTCGGGACAGAAAGCCGGGTCGGGTCGGGAGAGAGGAGGCCCTGGAGGAGGCCCTGGCGTGAAGACCCTAGAAGCTGGTCTAGGCCGCTAAGCCCTTGGCCCGTGGAAACGGGGAGTCGCTGAGGGCTGGTAGAGGAGTCTGTGCTGGAAAGGTCACGGAGAGAGTGTCCCCTGGGCCAGTGTTGAGTCCAACGGGCCCAGGCCACCTCTGGGACATGCGGCGTGTTTCACGCAATCCTGGTGGTGCCAGTACCCGCAGGCCTGCTGACTCCTGAGCTCCCCGCTGCCCTCACTGCCTGAGCTAAGCAGGGGTCAGAGAGGTGATTCGTCAAGCTTTCCACCCAGGTGACAGCAAGCTGACCGCCGCTGGAGAGACGGGAGCTCTGCCTCTGCCATCACCCTGGCGCGAGTAAACTACCGACCGCTTGAAACATGGCCAGTGCCACCGCCCAGGACTGACGTGCCGATTTTGCTCATGGTGCAGGGCTTTGCATTTCAGCAGCTGAAGAAGGCCAGTGGCTACTGTGTCGTATCCCATTGAGAGGCTCTGCTAGTCCTGTAGCTTTCTTGTTGGTTTATTTAAAAACCTGTTTTGGCTTCATGCTTCTGGAAGAGCCAGGAGCGCAAGTGTGGGGTTTGTGCATGTTGAAGGTTATAACCAAAAGAAGTAACGTCACTGAGGGGTCTGCCTGGATTCTTTTTGCTGACCAGGAGGCAGAACAGGACTTCAGTTTGAAGAGTCGCTTGTCTAGGTGGCTTCCCTGGTGGCTCAGATGGTTAAGAATCTGCCTGCAATGTGGGAGATCTGGGTTTGATCCCTGGGTTGGAAGGTCCCCAGGAGAATTCCATGGACAGAGGAGTCTGGCTTGCTACAGTCCTTGGGGTCCCAAAGAGACAAGACTGAGCGACTAACACTTTCACTTTCACTTTTGTCTGGGTGCCCTGGGCACCCTGTCCTCCCGTCCGCTCCCTGCAGTGATGCAGACATCCCCTGCCAACGCTGTGGGCTGTCTCTTCCCTGGGCCTTCTGGGAAGGGGGTGGTGGGGCAGAGAGCCCAAGCTCAAGGAGCGCAGAACTTGTGCCTGCACCCTCGGCCCACTGCCCCGCTTCTTCTGTCCGCTGCTTCGGTCCTGCAGGTGCCAGCTGTGTGCCAGGTGCTGTGAGCAGCGGGACAGCCAGGACCCCTTCGCTTGAGGACCTCAGGCCCTGGTGAGGGTGACAGATGTCACCCCACGATGGTCATGGCAGTGCTGGGAAGGGACGCTGTTCGGAGGATGCTGGATGCAAAGCCACTGCGGGGTGGGGGGCGCTCCTCCATGGGGCTCCAGGAGAAGTCAGCCATGGAGCCAGCCCCGTGGGGCGCTTTTGTTGTTCAGTCGCTAGGGCTAGGTCGTGTCCGACTCTGCGACCCCATGGACGGCAGCACCCTAGGCTTCCCAGTCCTGCACTGTCTCCCAGAATTTGCTCAAACTCATGTCCATTGAGTCAATGATGCCATCTGACCATCTCATCCTCTGTCACCCCCCTCTTATCCTGTCCTCAATCTGTCCCAGCATCAGGGTCTTTTCCATTGAGTCAGTTCTTCGCATCAGGTGGCCAAAATATTGGAGCTTCCGCCCTTCCAATGAATATTCAGGGTTGACTGAATGAATGAATCCGATCCAACCCAATGTGTAGTTAGGATTGACTGGTTTGCTCTCCTTGCAGGACAAGAGACTCTCAAGAGTCTTCTCCAGCACCACAGTCTGAAAGCAACAATTCTTCGCCGCTCAGCCTTCTCTATGGGTCACCTCTCACATGCGTACCTGACTACTAGGAAAGCCATAGCTTTAACTATGCAGGCCTTTGTTGGGGGGCTGGGGGAGCGTTTCAGGCAGGGGGGAGGTTGGAAACGGGAAGCTGGTGGGTGGTAGCAGAAGAAGGTGGGAAGAGGGCTGGACTCTAAGGTCTGAGCTGGGGGCTGGTGGGGCGGTCAGAGCAAGGCGGGCTCTTGGCCCTGAAGGCCAGCGTGGGGCTGCCCTGGATTCTGGCCCCAGTGGGGGTGACTGGAGGGTTTCCGCAGGAGAGTGTCAGGCCTGGCCCGGGAGGAATTGGCTCGCATGGTTACAGGGCTGGGAATGACCTGCCGTGGGCACACTGGCGGCCCAGGAGGGCCAGTTTGGTGACGTCATCCAGCCTGAGTCTGGAGGCCTGAGCCCCAGCGATGCTGTAAACCACAGTCTGAGGGCAGGAGGAGGTGCCAGGAGCCGCCCCAGCTCAGGGGGTGGGGCCGGAGGAGGGAGCGTTCTCCTTTGCCCCCTTGTGTTCCGTTCAGGCCACGGGGGACGGCACCTGCTCTCCGGCATCCACGCTCAGTACTGACCCCTCCTGGGAGCACCCCCAGACTCCCCAGAAGTCGTGCCCCTTCGGGGTGCCCAGGGCAGGTCATGTTGACACAGTGGTCCGCATCTCAGGCAGAGGTGGCATGTCAGGTGTGCCAGCGTGAGCTGGGGCGGGGGGCGCCCCAAGGGCACGGCCTGGGCAAGGCTCCTGCTGTCTGCTGGGCTGCAGAGCTCTGGTCCCAGCTCTGGGCCGGGACGCCTGGACAAGCTCCCAGATGAGGGGGAGGGAGCGGGGCCTGCCAGCCTGGGAGGGGAGCCCCCCTCCACCTCTGCCGCCTCCGCCCTCCCCTGACTGCCCCGGGACAGGCGGGGAGCTGATGGAGGTGGGGGTTGGCCAGCAGCTCAGCAGGCCCAGCGGGCCTCACTGCCCAGCTGGACTTGTCCTGGGTCTTCTGCTCCCAGTGACTTGGGGCTGGTTCCTCCGTGTCCCATCTGCAGTGAACGCGACCACAGGCCCAGGCGCTCGGAGCAAGGCCCGGCTCCTGGGAGGCAGGAGGCCAGGGCCTTCTTCAAGTGTGTTTGACGGAGAGGCTTCTCTGCCCGGGGCTGGTGACTCACTGCTGTTCTGGGGCATGCATACTGTGTGTGTGTTGTGGAGGGGGGGGCGGGGGTGGGATTGCTGAACCCGCCTCCTTGCCTTCATTTCCTGTGGAAATAAGCAAAGACCACCTAAAGGAGATAGGCTGTTTCTGCAAAGCCCACTTCACAGGATGTCTGCCACCCTCTCTGCACTTGACAAGAGCTCAAAGGCTGCCCCCAGGGGAGACAAGTTTATGTTTAAAAAACAAACAAACAAAAAGAGCTTAACATCTGAAAAAGACACTATGCCATATTAATAAAATAAAAAACCAATTATATGATCATCTCAATAGAAGTGGGAAGAGCATTTGACAAAACCCAACATTCTTTCATGATGAAAACACTCAACACGCTCAAAATAGAAAGGAACATCCTCCATTGGATCAGGGGTGTTTACAAATGACCAGCCAACATCACAGCTAGTGGTAAAATCTGAGCGCATCCCCCATGAGATCAGGGACAAGGGAAGGACCCCAAATCCTGCCACTTCTCTCTCTCTTCCTCTCTCTTTCTCTCCCTCTCTTTCTATATGTATATATATAAAATTGAAATATAGTTGACTTACAATGTTGTGTAAATTTCTGCTGTACGGCAAAGTAATTCAGTTATACATATATTGAATATATATTCACAGGATATTGAATATAGTTCCGTCTGCTCTACAGTAGGACCTTGCGGTTTATCCATCTTACACATAATAGTTTGCATCTGCTGAGCCCAATCCTTCCCTCCGCGATCCACCTTCCCCTTGGTAACCACAAGTCTGTTCTCTGTGTTTGTGAGTCTCTTTCTGCTTTGTATGAATTCATTTGTGTCATGTTTTGGATTCCACATGTAAGTGATAACATATGGTGTTTGTCTTTCTCTTTCTGACTTCCTCGATCATCTCTAGGTCTATCCGTGTTGCTTCATACTCCTGCCACGTCTATTCAACATTGTCCTAGAAGTTCTGGCCAGGGCATTTAAACAAGATGAAGGAGTTAAAAGACACCCATATGGGAAAGGAAGGCATAACCTATCTCTATTTGCAGATGACATGATGTCTCGGATGGAGAATCCTAAGAAATCCACATGCAGAAAATTAAAACAATAAATAAACGTGTTCAACAGTTGGCAGAATACAAGATCAATATACAGGGACTTCCCTGGTGGTCCAGTAGTTAAAAATCTGCCTTGCAATGCAGGGGACATGGGTTTCATCTCTGGTCGGGGCACTGAGATTCTGCATGCCGCAGAGCAAGTAGGCCTGCGTGCTGCAACTACCATGTCCTATAGGCCACATCTAGAGAGTCCATGTGCCCAAGGAAAGATCCCGCGTGACAAAACGAAGATCCCGCGTGTCACAACTGAGACCCAACACAGCCAAAAAAAGAGAGATCAATACAC